CTACACAGCCACAGATACGATACGCTGTGTGTATCATGGAGTATTCTGCAAAGCTGCACGCCAAAAACCCAATTTGAAAAATCTCGTTGCGATCAAGAGCAGAGTGGTCAGATAGTTATTTTATGTCTGGCTCAGAGACATAGTTATACATGACAGATACTGGCAGATACTAGAGATTGGCGGGGATAATCAGTCGCGGATATCCGATATCCGCTGTCGAATTCCCGCCAGTGGCAGATCATATCCGCTGGCAAGGGCGGCCTCCCCCTTGACGAGGTACATGTACCTCGTCGACTGGAAGGAAGCCCTTCCAGTCAGCAAGGTACGTGTACCTCGCCGGCTGGAAGGAAATCCTTCCAGCCGGCCATCTCCTCTTTCCAGCCTTGGGTATCCTTGGGGATACCCGGATATCCGCCGGGATTTCACGGAAAAGGGGGCATCCGCACCCGCCAGCGGATATCCCCTGGCACTGGCGGGTATCCGCCAGCGGATAGCGGATATCCGCGACGGATTATCCCCGCCCATCTCTAGTATCTGCCCGTATCTGCCATGTATCACTATGTATCTGAGCCCCAATAAAAAAAAACTATCTGACCAATCTGCTCTTATTTGCAACGAGATTCAACAAATTTGGTTTTTGGCCATGCAGCTTTGCAGAATTCTCCATGATACACACAGCGTATCGTATCTGTGGCAGTGTTGTGTGTAGCATTAGCACAGTTGTGGAATAATTCTGCTGTGCTATTTGAAATGTTAGTGGAGTTCCACTATGTTACGCTGTGCTAACCTGGCCCATCATTAGTACCTGGTACCCACAGGCCATCTTTATTCAGAAGGAAAAATTCAAGAGATTTTGAGAGGACTCGTGTGTAAGAGAGCTCTTGAATGCTTCAAACTTAAGGCTTGCAAGACTCAATGGTCTGGGAGAGAGTTCAATTTCTAGGAACCACCCTTGATGTTATTAGATCTAATTCATTATTCAGTAGGAAATGATGTTAGTTCTCTCACTAGAAAAAGCTCTGTTTTGGATTGTACATGTGTGCAATAACATCACATGTCCCCAGGCAATGTTATCACACATATTTGCAATGTGATCCAATACATCCCGCCCCTCCCCTTTGAAGGAATAGTAGAGATGGTCGAAGGGTATCCGTCGCGGATACCCGCTATCCGCTGGCGGATACCGACCAGAGGGTGGTCTCCTTCCAGTGGCCAACGAGCTTGTAGCTTGTCGACCCGGAAGGTCTTCCTTCAGCCCGTGGAGGTACTGGTCCTTGCCGGGCTGAAAGCTTTTCTTTCCGGCCGGCCAAGGTACAGGTCCCTGTCCGCCTGAAAGACCACCTTTCCACCGGTGGAGGTATTGGTACCTCAACGGCTGGAAGGAAGCCCTTCCAGCCGGTCCGTCGCCAACCCTTTAGGGGGCGGGTATCCGAGGATACCCGCTCGGATACCCGCTGCGGCCGACGGATACCCGCCAGAGGGTGCGGGTGCAGATGCGGATGCCTGGATGGCCCGGGAAAAAGCCACCCGGATATCCGCATTCGCGCGGGATATCCCGGAATGCCAAATCGCCCCAATCTTAAAGGCATAGTATGGGATCACATTCTTCACATGCACAGTACCATCACATGCACCATCACAATGTTACTACACATGCACACAATGGACACAATACGTTTTCTAGTGTCTGATGAGCTAGGAGAGGTGCAGAGACCAAGAGATTCAGAGAAAGATGTTAGAGGAATACATTATCCAAGTGACTGTTTTTGGAAACCCTGTGTGGACAGGGCTGCTCAGACACGCAGAGGTAGAAAGATGCTATCTCCTCATCCTACGTCCAGTCTGGCCTTAGTTAGTCTAGCTCCTCGCCCTTTACCTTTGTTTTTTTTTTCCTTCTCTCAGGTTGATCAAATCCCTCCTGTCTGGCCTAGTTCACCAAAACATCCAAAAAAAAAAACATATTTTTTTAATAGGCCTTGTTTGGCAGTGATATAACGGGAGCAATGTATACTGATTTTTGCCTCACATCCGGTCTGGTCTGCTAAAACTCTCTCAGCTCGTCTCAACAATTCACTTCACATTGCTCATTTATTTCAGTGCCTGCAAACAAGCGCTTAATCAGGGATAAAAAAAAAGCCAAATTATTATTAAACATAAATTAACACCCCATGGCTAGAAAAGAAAAAAGTCACAATAAATTAGATGAATCTATTTATTTGAAAAGGGTCTACTGTACTTTATAATTCTATAAACAAACAAACAAACAAACAAACAATAACATTGACATTGACATGAGAGGGAAGAAACAAACAGAAAGCTTGTTCTACTTAAGGGAGGGAAGACATGAAAGAAAGGGGGATGAAGTATTGTGAAGTAAATAAAAAAAAATGATGACTGATAATGATTGACTGAATCAAGGGAGAAGAGAGGATAGGAGGATGTTCTCTATCTTAAAAAAAAATAAGTAAATAAATAAATAATGAGAGGAAATAAATAAATGAGAGGAAAGAAAAAAAGGGGGAAGGGAGAGGATGTGTACGACGAAAAAATTGCGACAAAAAAAGGGGAGGGGGGGAGAAGGATCAAGAGATTGAAGGAGAAGCAGAAGAGGAAGAGGAAGAAGCGAAGGCGGATCTGGGCGTAGTAGGGAGGGTGACCGGCGGGGATTTAGGAGGATGAGTAGGAGTCTGAGGAGGGGGAGGAGAATGAGGGGTGATAGTCGAGCACGAGCTACGTTCGGAAGAGTTACAGGAAGAGACCGAGGAAGCAGACGAAGATTCATGGTGAATCAGGCCAGAATGGGGCGTCAGGATGGCGTTAAGATGGCCCGATCTGAGCCGGTCCTGTTCGGTATCCGTGTCCGAATCCGAATCCGATCCTTCACCATCCATTCCTTCTTCTGATTCTTCGTCAGTCTCTTCCGTCACTATTATCGTTCTTCTTGTTGTTGTTGTTGCTGGTGGGGATGTGGATGTGGATGGGAGTTTGCAGCGAGTGGGGGTGGTGATTGAGGAGGATGATCCTAGCAATCGTTCCGTGTAGTCCTCAAACTCGGACGCACTGATCATCAATCTGAAATCGCTCATCAACAAGAACTTGATCTCCAATTCTTCGAGCTCTTCTAACGGCAACCCTCCAACCTACAGATCGTTCCGTCCAAAGACAAACACGTCAATTTAATGACCAAGGTTCTCAGTGGCGATGAAAAAAAAAGGTGTTGCAAGTTGAAGAAACTTACCTTGGCATATCGCGAGTTGGTGTAAAAGACGTCGCTCAATAGTTTGCTTGCGGCAGTGATGGAGGCGATTAAGAATCGATGAACGTTCCACGAATCGATGACGAAATGGAAGTTGAATTGAGTGAGATGATTAGGCGACAGATTCCATTTGTTCTTCTTCTTTTTCTTCTTAGCAATCTCATTGAAATTAGTTACAGATGATGATAATGATGATGATGAAGTAGTAGTTGTTGTTGATGATGTTGTTGTCGATGTAATTGATGATGAAGATGATAATGATGATAATGGTGTTGTTGTTGTTGTTGTTTGTGATGATGAGGATGATGAGGCTGTTGATGATGGATGACAGTGATTGAACGTACAGAGCCTATCCAAGTAGATTAGAGTCGAAAGAAACACGCCATTAGAGGTTGGACAATACTTGAGGATGCGAAGCAGATAGGCCTCGATCGAGATTTGCGGGACGATTTTCGCATGGAAGGTGAGGATTGAGTTGGGCTTTGAGAGCAGTTCGAGCGAGGCCGTCGAGAGCTGCTGTTCCTTGTTAGTGCTGCTATGATGAGTGTTGGGTGAACAGCTGGGTTCGGCAAGTGGCGATGAATACGGTGAACGTGTGTTTTGTTGATTTAGTTTTTGGAAATGGATAACAGTCGGGCTTTGAGTTGGACGCGTGTTTAGTCTCCTTCCTTCGTCCTCGTCTTCTTCTTCTTCCGTTTCGTCATCATCATCATCATCGTCATCATCATCATCCTCGGAGTCCTCGTCATTATCACGTCTAGGGTGATTATCATAATAATTGAGATTCTCAGTCATGAATGAGTCCTCTTGATGAGTGCTTGCTCGTTCTGCTTCTTCAGCTCCAGGCCGTCTTCGTCTCCTCCGTCTGAGCAGATCCTGTGGTTTTCTGCCAAGTTCGCTAGAGGGTGTTGCAGGTCTTCTTCTGGTGTGATTATTGAGATGGTCATTCCTTGAGGTGATTCTATCGAATAAGTTAGCTAGGTTCTTCAGTAGGGTTTCTTGAGGGAAGCTTTCCAGATCGATCTTCTTCTTCTTGTTGTTGTTTGTATGCCTAGTTTCGTTTAACTTGATGGATTCTTTGAGTGAGTTTGAGGAGTGATTGTTGTTAGGCAGTTGTATTCGATCTACTGTTGTTGTTGGATGGTGTTGGATCTGTAGTTGGTTAGTTCTGAGTTGATTATTACAATTCATTCGATGTTGGTTTGCTTTAAGTGGTAGTTGTTGTTGTTGTTGTTGTTGCTGCTGTTGACCATCTTGATGGGTTTGATGTTGCTGTTGTTGTTGGTTGGTGGTGGTTGTTGTTGTGAGAGAGTGATTCATGTTTTTTTTTTGGATTTTGGTTTTTGTTTGGTTGAGTTTGCTGTGTTTAAATTTGTCTTAGTCAGGTCAAGAAACTAGTTTCACGGGGAAGGGAAGGGGGGAGATCAGAACAAAACTCTCGTTCCCAAGTAAAAGTTGTTGCCATATCCCCCCACCGGCCATGACCACCCACCCCCCTTTGATCATCTCATCTCATCAACATTCAGAGCAAACTTCATCAATCATTCAGACTCAGCCAACACTACTGATCGATCTATCTGCTCTAATCCGAATCGATCAACACTTCAAAAAACCAGTCAAAGGACCATGTAGGCTTATCATCAACTTCAGAAACCTTTTGCCGATTTATGTACGTAAGCAAGCACAACCGATAACACTCGGTCTATACTCGCCGCAGCACGACAGCCACACCATACAAACCTGGTTTACCAGGAGGTAACCTGATTGATCTGGATGGCATTGGATCCCTCTTGGACATCTGTGCAATCTCAAGAGTACTTACCCTTTTGGCCCAAAGTGCTAATTTCATACCTTTTTCCAGCTTCTTCTGGAGTATGTTTTTGTAAATAGCTAACCTTTTTCAACCCCCCCCCCCCTATTGGTGGGCTTGCCAGGGTAGTAAGGCCTTGGAACCTCAAACTCATGAGGAGTCAAGGACATATTTTCATGGATTATGGAGATTTATCAACACTCACAAGTCCTTCCCAAACAAGATGGGGGCACATTTTTCAATTCAATTCTGCACAATCTTTCAACACAATGGTAGTCAAACCTATTTCTAGTGTTGGATTACCTTAGAAATAATTGTAAGCTTGATTGGTATATTTGAAACAATTCTAATAGAAAAACATGCCATCAAAACTGATAACATCTTTTCTGGTATCAAACACCACCAAGTTTTGTGTTTCAATGATACAATATATATTTATATTTCAACTACCAAAACATAAACCAAGCCATCTCCCATCAGTGCATTCATATGGATATTGAGTTGCCTGATTTCCAGATTGGTTTTTCTTTTCAATGCTACCATACAAATATTCATCTGTACTGTAGGATAGCAAACTTCATTTTCTCAGAATCAATCTTTTTTTATCACCCAAATTGACCATTTCCAGCAGCCAGTCTTTGGGCCCAAAAAGTGAAGGATTTCAACATCAAATCTTTCCACTTGTTCTCAATCTTTGTGTAAAAGACAGAAAAGATGATAAATTTTCAAAATTGAGTCTGATGATACAGACCCTTATTCTTGGAAGATAAACAAATCCTCTTGGCTTCCTTTCCCTCTACAAGATGCTTTGTAAATTGTCACAGCATCTACAAAGTAGTATAATAATGCTTTCTTTCTCTTTGTCACCCATGTTAATTGATTATAGCTGTAATGTATTTGAATCTACTAACTGTGGATCAACAGTCAATATATTGGTACTCTTCATCATGCAATAAAATAAAGAAAGTTTCAACTAGAATCAAAGTAAGCAAACAAAATTGAAAAGATGTTAATTGATTTAATGGAAGATCAAAGAAAATCCATTTTTGACTATATCATCTGGTTGAAACGATTGAGTTTTATATGTTGGAAGCTCTGGCTTGTGAAATTTTGTCTGTGTGCATGTTTTCCATAGAAAGTCCATGTATGCTTTAATGTTTAGATTTGATGCAGCACAACACCAAATCATATCTCTAATATTTCACAATCACAATCAAACTGATCATATTTACTTAACTATTTTACATTTGTTTATCAATAAATATCAGAAAGAGAAATGATACATGGAGAAATTTTGGTACTTGCATCAGGGTTTTAGATACATCAGAAACTGTCTAACACATTTTCTTCACAATCCCCTCAAGAAGATTTATCTATTCTTCATTTCATTTTTTTTTCTTGTTGACAAAATTGGATGGTTGATATTGTTGATGAAAACAAAATGTCCATTATTTTGACCACTGTGTCTTTACCTTTTGATCAATGCCGTAGATAGAAAAAAAGGG